TGAAGATTGAACCTTCGATCCCAATTTTTATTTCTCATTCTTAACTCTGTATTGATTATTTGAGTAATAATATTTTCAGATCAATTCACACCTTTTTTTTAGTGGTAGATATTGTGTTGTTGGTATCAGAGCCAAGTTGGTAACTAAGGGTTTGATATTATTACTCAACTAGATTTGAATGGTGGAAGTGTTTCTATGGGTATAGCTATGGAAAAGCTTGTCACCAATAATTATAATTATGGAAGTTATGTATGAAAGCTTATCTACAGGGGCAAGATTTATGGGATTTAATTGAAGGTGATGACAAGAAATTCCGGCAGATACTCCACAGAATGTTGAATTACACCGAAAATGAAGATCAAATGTGGAAAAACTTTATTTACGTTGCGAACTTTGATTAGTAAGAAATATATTGATCATATTCGTGATTTAAAGTCACCAAAGCAAGCGTGGGAAACACTTCAAAAGTTGTTCACTAAGAAAAATACAGCTCGATTGCAATTTCTAGAGAATGAACTAGTTGTGGTAACTCAAGGTAATTTTTCGGTTAAAGAATATTTCTTGAAAGTGAAGAATTAGATGCTGAGCAGCCAGTGAGTGAGTGATGCTCGATTACGACATTATCTTATTCGTGGATTACGAAAAGACTTTATGCCCTTTGTTTCCTCAATACAAGGGTGGGCAAATCAACCTACATTTATTGAATTGGAGAATTTTCTTTCTAATCAAGAAGCTTTGATTAAGTAAATGACTAGCAGCAACGAGCTTTCTCCAAAGTTAAAAGATGTGTTGTATGTCAAAGATCAAAAAAGACAAAATTTTCATTCAGAGCCTTCATCAAGCAATGAGAATCAATTCAGAAGTGAAGAGTCGTTAAAGAAGCCATTTAAAGTTTGTTATAACTATGAAAAACCTGGCCATTTTAAACGAGATTGTCGGATGAAAGTGGTGTATCATCGTTGCGGAAAGTCAGATCATATTAAGCCAAATTGCCGAATCAAAATGCAGGAATCAGAAGCAAATGTTGTACCATGAAAGTAAAAATTCTTTAGATCCATCTTGGGAACACTATTTAACTATTGAGGTTCTTGACCCGCTAACAAACGTGACTTCAGCTGTACATCAAGATGATGTTTCTACAGATCTTCATGCCTTTATAGACTACAATGAAGAATGGATTGTCGATTCTGGTTGTTCTCGTCATGCAACTGGAAACGAAACTCTTCTATCAGATGTTCGTCCACATTGTCAAAATAAGAGTAAATGACCTAGCAACGTGGCTGAATTGGAATCACGACTTCCTCAACTCCAGAAGGAACTGAAGAAAACAAGTGATCAACTGAGCGCATTTGAATCACACTAAAAGCAAGCCCAACAGGAAGCAGAACAAGCAAAGAAACAACTATTAGATATGTCTGCAAAGTTTGAAGAATCCCAATGGCAGGTGCTTGAGCTCTCAACTTCTGAGGAAGATCGTGTTCAAGAACTGCACAAACTTTCTCAAGATCGTGATCGAGCATGGGAGTCTGAACTCAAAGCTGTTCAGAAGCAGCATGCAATGGATGCTGCTACATTGGCCTCCGCCATGAATGAAGTTCAGAGGCTCAAGGTCCAGCTGAACATGGTGTTTGAATCCAACCAAACTCACAGTAACCTCGCTGAGTCTGCACAAGTTGAGATGGATTATTTAAGAACACAGCTCTCAGAGACACTCTCTCTTGTGGAAAAACTGAAAAATGAGCTCAATTACTGTAGAGATATGAAGCTCAAGCCCTCAACATTGCAAGGAAAAACCAAAATCAATTCGAAACAGCCAAAGTAACTGTGGAAAAGCTTCAATCAAATGGAATCAAAACTGTTGAAGCCTACAACTCTTTGTCATTAGAATTAGAGCAATCAAAAGATCAAAATTCATGGAGAGATGACTTTGATTTTCGTGGAGGAAAGGGAAGAGGCCAAAAAGGTTTAAATTCTGGTCGTGTTGGTGGTGTTCAAAGGAAATAGAGTAGGGAGAGGAGGCAGAAGAAGACCTGCTGGGAGAGAGAGTCAAAGAGTGGAATTCCATTGCCAATATGATAGGATCTCCTTTTGGACCTCTAGGACCAATGCAGCCACTTATTCCTGACATGTCACTCAGTCCAGGCCCACCAGTTTCTCCCGCTTTTCCACCCGGACCATCAGGACATAGATTTCCTCCAACAATAGAGACTCCACCAAGTGCTGCCATGTATCGATACATTAGTAAAGTTTGAAGTTTTTTCGTAAGGCTCTCGAAGTTATTGAGAAATAAGCTTGCACTAATGGAGGGGTCAGAATTTAGTGCAACTCATTGATAGTTTGAATTAGTCAAGATATTCATAATCCGTTAATATTTGGATAATATATTAGTTATATTGACTAATATATGTTTTTTATGATTTGATTAGTAGTATATTTTATTTTATTCTCAAGATTTAGTTAGTTTATATTTTAGGGATTTGTAGGTATTAGTTTGTATCCTATTTAAACGTTGTGAATATCAATGAAGATTGAACCTTTTATTCCAATTCTATTTCTCATTCTTAACTTTATATTGTTTCCTTGAATAATAATATTTTCAGATCTATTCACACTTTTGAGTGATAGATACGGTGTCAACATGTTCTAATCTTTTATGTCATAACCAAGTAGGAGAGTCATTACCTATAGTATCCTTACCAATTATTTTACCCTTTTTGTTGTTGACAAAACTTACTGAGCCACCGTCCTTCTTGGAAACACCCACAAACTTGGATTGGTTTCCAGTCATGTGTCTTGACCAACCACTATCCAAATACCACTTATTTTTTCTTTTGCTTTCAAATAAACCTCATCTTCTTCATCCTCTTTGTCACTATGAGCCATGAAGCAAAAATTTGCTACTTCTTCATTCCTTGCACTTTCATCACTATCATCTCAAGTAGCCTTCATTGCTTTCTTCCTGGATTTCTTAGATGATTTGAGGAGAGGACAATTCGGTCTTATATGACCTGGCTTTTTACATTCATAACATATTATCTCTATCATGTTTGCTCTTTTCACTTTTTGGTTGATGAAATGTTTCCTAAATTGTTTCTTCTTTTTTATGAAATTTTTATACTTATATGTGAAGTAGACAACATCATCTTCACAAGGGCTTTCTCATCGTCGGAGTCAACTTCCAATGTGATGGACTTTAGAGCTATACTTTTTTTCTTTTTGGATTCTTCCCTGCGCTCCTCCTCTTCCATACACTCTTTCATGGTAATCTCATGTGTCATGAGAGAACCAACAAGTTCATCTAAATGAAGTTTTGTGAGATCATTTGCTTCTTCGATTCCAATCACCTTTGTTTCCCAACTTTTAGATAGAGACCTAAGAATTTTCCCTAAATTTTCGGGAGAGTATATTTTTTAGAAATTTTTTCAAAACATTTAGAATTTTAGTAAATCTAGTAAACATATCACTTATAAATTCATTTGCATCAATTTTAAATAGTAATTATGAACTAACCTGCTAATCTTTGTTTGTTTAACTTATTTGTTTCCTCCTTAATTACTTCAGAGTTTTCCAAATTTCATAAGAACACACATTCTTTATTAAATTCATCGTTACTTATGGCACAATAAAGCCAATTTATAACACTAGAATTAAAAAAAAAAAAAAATCATATGGGCGGATCAAATTCATCCTCCATTTTAAGCTCCTCAATATTATTAACAATTTTTATTGGTTAAATTTATCGTGAAATAATGTCGACCACATGTTTTACTTTTATATATATATAATAAAAATATATATTAATGAAAACAATGTGATTAAAGTTTATTTTTATTATTCAAATAATTTTATTTCAATTTAAAAGTAATTGAAAACTCTCCATTTGTTACTCTACCAAAGTTACGAGTGTCATACTTCGATTGGTTTATGATATCAATTTTTTTGTCACATCATCAGGTCGAGTATTTTGTTTCAACTTAAACTTCTTTGTTTTAGCTATAACTTGAGTGAACAAAAAAAAGGTGTTGAAATCGTTATTCTCAATCTTACACTGTGGACAATTCAAAATACTGTTAATAATCAGATGTAATTTGTTATCATCAAAACATCAATCAATTAATTAAAATTAATTAATTTGAGATTAAGGGCCAAAAAGTCAACCAGGGTTTCTGTGAAAGATGAAAGGTTGATTGAGAAGAAAATGAGAGTGTATGTTGGCCAAGGGGAAACCGATTATGTTGGAGAAGGTGAGGTTGTATGTACAGAGTATGGTGAATGGTGATTTGGAGGGTCAAAAAGGTGGAGCCGAAGAGTAATCAATCGGCTCTGCTTGCAACAGTCATGGAGACTGTCCGTGCGGCGCCAAAGCCAGCAGTGGTGGTGGGGAAGAACAATAGAGGATTCAAAAGCCATTGAAAAGAAAGTATTAGTGTTGCTAAACATAAATGACTCTGATAACATGAGAATGTTTGCTTAAATCCACCCCACCTAAATAATGCGAAAATTATCTATTTATAATCAAATAAATTACAAGGATATGGTAAGAATAATAAATTAAAATAACAATAAAGGAAAGATACATATATTAACAAGTTGCCTTGTAATAAAATATTAAATATGATATATATGTGTTAAGGATAGTTGACCGTTAATTATAAGGCAAATATCTAGATATTTACCTTACATTACGGGTTACCATATTTGCTCTTTTATTAAATGCAAATATATTGTATTCATTTATTATTCTTTCCTTTTATCGCTATTTTCTTATTATTGGTAATTTACCTTATTTGATTATAAATAAGAGAACTCTCACCACCATTTGGGTGTGGTGGATTAATCAAACATTCACATGGTATCAGAGCCCTTTCGGTTTAACAACCCTGATCCTTTCTTCTCTATGGCTTCCGAATCTTGTTATCATCTTCTTCCTTTCAATACTCTAATCCATATGATCACCATCAAACTTTCTTCCTCCAATTATCTTCTTTGGAAAAGCCAACTTCTCTCTCTCCTTGAGAGTCAAGACATGCTGGGCTATGTCGATGGAACTATGGTTCCACCACCTTGCTTTGAACCAGAAACCTCCTCAACATTCAACCCCAAATATTTGGCATGGAGAGCAACCGATCAACGACTTCTTTGTCTCCTGCTCTCCTCTCTCACTGAGGAAGCCATGGTTGTTGTCGTTGGTTTCTCTACTGCACGTGATGTTTGGCTTGTGTTGGAAACTACGTTCAGCCATCAGTCAAAAACTCGTGAACTGAGACTCAAGGATGACTTGCAGTTGATGAAACGTGGCACAAAACCTGTTGCTGAGTATGCCCGTGCCTTCAAAAAAATTTGTGACCAACTTCATGTCATTGGCAGACCCGTCGAGGACATTGATAAAGTGCACTGGTTCCTTCGTGGACTCGGCACCGAATTTTCAGCTTTTTCTACTGCTCAGATGGCTCTCACCCCTATCTCCTGTTTTGCAGATCTAGTCTCTAAAACTGAAAGTTTTGAGTTGTTTCAGCGCTCCCTTGAGTCCTCTGACTCCACTCCTACAGCATTCACAGCCACTAATCGTGGTCACACCCATGAAAGTCACCCTGCTTCCTTTACCAACCAGCGAGGTCGTTCTTATTCTCACAAAAACAACTCTTCTAATCGAGGACGAACCCACTCAAGTCAGGGTCGTCGACCACCTCATTGCCAAATATGCCGCAAAGAGGGCCATTATGCTGACCGCTGCAACCAACGATATGTTCGACCTGATTCTTCTCATGCTCACCTTGCTGAAGCCTTTAACACGTCATGTTCTATTGCTGGACCCGATGCTGCTGATTGGTTTCTGGACACTGGAGCTTCGACCCATCAATTCTGGATCAGTCTAAAAATTACACGAGTAGTCTAAAAATTTGGGTGTGGTAGATTAATCAAATATTCACAATATGGTAAACTATAATTTAGTATTAAATATCCTTAACATGAATATAGATAGCCGACTTACTCGAGAACAAGAGTAGTTCTCGAGTATATATGGCATAATTTCATTACAAGTTCCACCTGAGTAATTTGGTATGGTCATCAAAGTAGATCAAATAACATCGCTTTGTGAACGAATTTTAGCGAACTAATTCGAATAACAAACACAGAATAAATCTCTCTTCCTTAATTCACTCAATCTTGATCACTAAGAAAAGAGCAACAAAAAGCAGAAGGGCATTCATAATCCAACAGGTGGGGTTTGACAAAGACGCGCGACTTATGGGAGTGGCAGACGGCGGAGCAGCCGGGGCTACGGCCGTCGGGCACACTAAGACAGCAAGTTTCATTCCTTGAAAGCAGTAGCCGCCGCCGGCAATGAAGAAATAGGGCCGCAGCTCCGTCAGCTGAAACACGTCTCGTCCACCTCTTGTAATGTTCTTTATGAACTCCTTCTCAGTGCAACCCTCGTAGCTCGTTTCGTTCACTTCCAACACGTTGTAGTATCGCTTGTCGAACACGAAATCTTTTCAAATAAAATATTAATATACCATTTTAAAAATTAATTATTTCCTCAGTACAAATTTTAAAAAACACATTTAAAACTTTTAAATGTTTTAAAAATATCTTTAAATTTTTTAAATTTCACTCGTAATTTCTCACCAAATTAATGAAACTCAAAAATATTTTTAAAATATTTTTGAAATATTTTAAAAAAATTCAAGAATATTATCATTTTTAAATAAGATAAAAAAACAAAATATTTTTTTATTAATACAGTCATCCATATTTCACAACAAAACTTTATTTACTAAATAATAATAATAATAATAATAAATAGATTCATCAATTTCTAATCTTTAATTTTGGGCGATTTTTTTTTATTTGTAAATAATATCGACTTTTAACAATACTTTCTTAAAATAAAAAAATAAAAACATTAGATATTCATAAGAAAAAAATAATTTTTTTTGAGAAGTACATACATGAAAATAATGATATACAAGAATAATATAAAATGAAGCGGAATGACCAAAACCAACGGAAATTGTTGGAAAAAGTTTACAAATTTGCTGCACTCAGACTCGACTCGACTCGACCCGACCAGATTTTCAAAAAAAGAAAGAAACGAAAAAACGAAAGAGATTAGAAACTTACAAAGCCAATCACCGAGATAGAAACGGTGAGAGGAGGACCAAAGGGTATAATTGAGATTAGGGTTCCATCCTTTAGAATTGCCCACCTTATGAAGCTTCTCTCCCATTGCATCTGTTGCCCAAGCCATTGCCACTATTACCATTATCACCCTCACTCTCATTTCCTCCATTTCTTCCTCTTTTTTTTTCTTTTTGGTTTGCTTCTCTTTAACAACTTCCATGTCCACAATAAAAAAACAAAGCTCTAAAAAGCTTTTTTCTTTTTTTTTTTTAAAAAAAAATATTATAAATTTTTAAAATTTTACTTCAATTTTGATATTATTTTTAAATAATAAAAAATTTTAAATTAATGTTTATTAAAACTAATTAAATATTAAATAAGACATGGAGTTTTAAATTTAAAGTTTAAAATTTAAAATTTAAAATTTAAAAGATTTATAATTTTGGTTCAGAATTTTGTTCTGACAAAAGAGCAGTCAACGTGAACCATGACTTTGCTTTATTTAAAGCTCTTGGTTGGCAGACAAATCCTGTGGGGCCCACGTATTGTGTTCGGTACTACTTGAGTTTACCTTTTAAATTTAATTAAGTGTTAAAGTTGCAAATTTTAATTTCAGATTTGACCATTTGTTCGTTTGTTTGCACGCTCATTCTATCACGACTCGTAGTAATATTGTAACGACCCGATTCACCTCTAGCAGATATTGTCTTTTTTGGACTTTCCCTCAAGGCTTTAAAACACGTCTGTTAGGGAAAAGTTTCCATATTTGTATAAATGATGGTTTGTTCTCCTCCCCAACCAATGTGGAATATCACAAATATGATTGTGTGAGGGGCGATATATGCTTAAGCCTCTGACCTCGTTCTTGAAAAAATGCTTTAGAAAACGGGGTGTGGAAACCTCTCCCCAATAGACGTATTTTAAAAACCTTGAAGAAAAGCTCGAAAAGAAAAGCCCAAAGAGAATAATACTTAGTAGTGGTTAACTTGAACTGTTAAAAATGTAATATCTACTAGCGGTAGGTTTGAGTTGTTACAAATGTAATATCTTCTAGCGGTATGGAGTTTGGATTGTTACAAATTTAATATCTACTAGTGGTATGTTTGGGTTGTTACAAATGTTATCAGAGCCAGATACGGGATGGTGTGTCAACGAGGACGTTAAGTCCTCAAGGGAGGTGAATGGATTGTGACATCTCACATTAGTTGAAAAGAGGAACGAAATATTCAGGAAATCTCTTGATAGTAGATTTTAACACTATGAGGCTGACGACGATACATAACGAATAAAAGTAGACAATATCTACTAGTGATGAGCTCGAGCTGTTACAATAAATAATAAATAACTAGCGAACATCAAACCAAGTTAAAAAAAAATTGAAACAAACATTTAGTCATATGTTCGTGACATTCGACATGTAGTTATAAACAATTATATTCAATTTTAAAATAAAAGAATTATATTCAATTTTTATAGGAAAAAATGGTTGGCATGCAAATTTGGTATTAAAAAAAAAAGACAATAATTTATTGTCTTTATATTTTCGTATAAATGCCACGTGGAAAAGCTTTCGAATGGTCGTCTGAGACACACAACTTTATTTATTTATTTATTTATTATTATTATTATTTTAAAATAATAATTACATTATTTAAATATATTTTTTCACGTGCGGCTTGCTTATAATACACTTTTCATTTAATTTCTTGTCTTTATATTTTCAAAACGTAAATTGTTTTTATTTTACTCTTATTTTCCAACCAATTTCCAGTTCATTCCATTTAATAAAAAAATTCATATTTATCATATATATATATATATATAACTACGTTAATAACTAAAATCTCATAAAATATTTACAAGCCATAATACATCATTAACATTAATTACATAATTCATTATCTGGATAACTCTATTTTCAAATTCATCGAGATAACCCAACCAAAAAACTATCGTCCACAAACCGAACCAAATTTTCAATTTTTTAAAATTCAAACCCAATTCAAAAACAAAAAGAAAAATTGAACCCAAACCATATTGAATGGATTATCGGGTCGCATGAACACCTTAACCTAGATTTAGATTATAAATTTTTAAAAAAAAATTAAAATCTAAGCACAAACCAAACCTGCTGCGAAAATCAAATCAAACCAAATTAAACCGAACCGAACCAAACAACACCCGAGTACGTATGGCAAAGGGAAGGGTTAATGGGCTGGATTGTGGACCCAGTCAACAAACATTGCTTTCTTTTCCAAATTAGCAATCTATTCATTTAATGAACATAAAAGACAGAAGAATCTATACTCACATGGTTGGTGGTGGTGGCTTGCCCCTTGCTGCAACCAAACCCATTTTCAATGGCCAAAATAAATTATGAGTATTATCAAATCTCAACCCCTATGAGTTTAATACCCACCACCCATCAAGAACATCAAGAACAACAACAACAACAACAAATTTTTAAATCAACAAGATAACACAAAGAAACTGGATTCAATGACTAACTAGATCTTCCTTGCACAAATTGGTGAAGCAAGATCTCCTCTGTTTCAATATCAATCAACAACACCGGTGGTTTACCAGATCAGGGCCCGAGCAGCTGCAAAAACAGCGGTTAAAACGAACGGGGTGTGGCCGATGTGGGTTGATCTTGGAGCACTGCTCTTCTCATTCAAGGGTGAGCTCGAGGGCGGGGGCGGTAGGTGCTCAACATTGATAGCGAGCTTCATGCCTCCATAGCAAAACCCTTTGCCACTTATGAAGTAATAAGGTCTGGTTACATTCAAATGAACAACATCTCTTCCAGCTCCTGTGGTGAAGTTTTTTAGTGGATTCTCAGAATTGCAAGCCTCATAGTTTGTCTTGTTCACCTCCAACACATCCATTTGGTTCCTGTCGTACACAAAAACTAACAACAAAGACCAAATTAGCTATAATCCCGACATCCTCGTCGAACTAGTTCGAGTAACTAACCATATTTCGACCCGATACTTTCAATCTTTGACAGTTTTTTCTCATATAATACTCGATAGATCATTACGATGTAATGTACATACGTGCATGTGCAAAGGGATACATGGATGAACCGACATTACATCAAAACGAGAGCGACCAAGAGATTATGCGAGTTGGAACTTTCTTTTCAGCTCATTTGCTAGTAACGAACCAAATCTTAGCAGATTTCTCTAAATGATTTGATAACCGAGAACAAAACATGTTGAAAGAACCTGTATTGGTTTGCATCAAATCCAGATTCTAAAACCTAGTCCAAATCTCAAGCTAAGGGACAAGAACAATCAAACACAGAAATTCGCAGAACCAAGAACATCAAGAACCAATTTCATTTTCCTACTTCTTACACCAATTTTCTCAGCAGCCAAACAGAATCAAGAACATCAAAATCCGACAAAAACCCACAAAATCTCTCCTCAAAACTAACCAAAATCCAAATTATCAGCTACAAATCCAAACACCATTAACAGATCTAAAGATAAAAGTGCTTACAGAGCCAGTCGTCATAGTAGAAGTGCTTCCCTTCAGCCCAGACAGTGTAGTTCACATTGGTCGTCCACCCCATGTTATCACCAACAGTCCACCGTTTAGCTGAAACTTCCGACACCGCCGCCGCCAGCAGCAGCAGCACCGCCGCTAACAGTCCACCGCCGCTGACCCTTCTTAGAACCTCCATAGCTCTGTATTTTTAGCGTAGTCTAGAAGGGTCTGGTTTGAGGTTTTATTTAAATGGGTGGGGAGGGGATTAGTGATTATGAAGATTAATTAAGAGTTTGCTTAATGGATCTACTGACCGCCATTATTTTTTTCAATTCGATACAAATTATTACACCTCAGCTTTTACTTTATTTTTTTTGGGGGGGGGAAATCAAAGTTTAACAATTTGGGTCCAAAAGTTGAGATTTTTTCACACGACAGCCAGCTCAGGTTTGGTATTATTCTTAGAATTCTTAAAAACTCTGTTGAACTTATATGTTTTGTTAATATATGAACAGATAATGATACTAAATGATTTTGAGTCCATAATTTAAGGCTGAAATGGCTCTTATTTGTTGTATTTTGGGGACTTGTGGGGCATCAAATGAAGTGGAAGACTACTCATTTCACACATAATCTAGCTGTCAATTTATGTACTAAGAGAGACAATGGTCCTAGCTTGAAAAAAGAAATTCAATCAAATTTAGGGTATTTTATTTGTGACTCGAACACTAATCCAAATTTACACTCTAACGGCTATTTCGTTCATCTGGAGCTATTGTAACTTAGTCTCATTATGCTATATTAAAAAAATGAGCAATTTATGAACTCAACAGGCTATTCGCATGAAAAGGGAAAAATGTTTAGTTTTCAGGCTTATCGTGTAATACTCGGTGCGAAAGAAAAAACTAATAGTTTACGTTTTAGTAACTACGGTTTTATTGACTTTAATATTCACAAACTTTTAAAGAAGAATGAAATATTATCAAGCACCCTTCACGGTTGGAAAGGATAACGAAGCATTCTAAACTTTTAAGGAAGAATGGAATATTATCAAGCACCCTTTACTGTTGGAGGGGATAACGAAGCATTCTAAATTTTTAAGGAATAACGGAATATTATCAAGAACCCTTCACTGTTGGAGAGGATAACGAAGCGTTCTAAACTTTTAAGGAATAATTGAATATTATCACGGTTGGAGAGCATAATAAAGCATTCTAAACTTTTAAGGAATAATGGAATATTATCAAGCACTCTTCATTATTGGAGAGGATAACGAAGCATTCTAAACTTTTAAGAGATAACGGAATATTATCAAGCACCCTTCACTGATGGAGAGGAGAACGAAACATTCTTTGTAAAGGCGTGGAAACCTTCATCTCTTGATAGACACGTTTTAAAAATCTTAAAGAAAACTCAAGAGGAAAATATTTGTTAGCGCTAGTGTAGATTTGAGTTGTTACAATTTCATATTGTATTAATGGCCCTACATTTTTCTTAACGATTGACTCTTATGATTTTTTCGACTTATGTATAAGACATTTATTATCTTTTTTAAAGTTGAAGGTTCGATCTCACTTTATATTTTTTGAATAAAAAAAGTTATAATATAACTCAATGACGTAGTTCATTGTTCATCGGTAGCTTCTTTTAATAGGTTGAAAGTTCACTAATCCTCTATTCTAATTCGAGTTAAAAAATGAATAAAGTTTATCGTGATAAAATCTACAAAAGGGCGTTTTAATTCACCCATTTTTGTATCCGACATTGAAAAGATCAGATAACTTAGAAAATCTGGTGCTAAACCATCTGACACAAATTAAGTTAGCTGCAAAAACAAGTCAGCAGTTCCAAGACCAAACACAGCTTCAACTTGGCTTCGGAGATTTAAGTAAGATCATCAATCCAATCTTCTTAATAAATATTGAACTTGAACTTCCTTAGTCAATGGCATGATCCAATCCCCATATAGATCAGCAACCAAGCTGGGTTTGATCTTATAAGTTGCTCGGGATTCAGCTTTCGGTGCATCGGTCGTTACCTCTTGTCCATAAACCGTTGCTTTCATCTCCACTCGCCTTTTCACAACCTCCTCCACCGTCGGGTATGTCAAGATATCCATCAGTTTTTGCTTATCCTTTGAAAATTTTACACAAGGAAAAAGTTAATGAATGAAAATCCAGAAAAGAGTCAGCTGGAGGGTTCCATCTGGTTTGAGTTTGTTTACCTGTGCTCTAATAGCTGCTTCATACGCCTCCGGTGAGGCTCGAAACTTAGCTTCTGCTACGAATTTTCCATAATGGATTCTCTTTGATAAAGCCTGCCAAAGCAAGGAATTCATTCATACAATTCTTGGAGATTGTCATGTTGATCAACGTGATGTTTATGCATAATCGGTGAATATCTTGTGTACTTAATTTTGCGACATTTAAAGCAGAAAAAAAGAAATTAAATAGTTATCTAACGGGGCCTAAGTATCGATATATTTGTCTCTTATTAATGTGCTTGTCCCAATATTCGACTTAGACTTCCCATTTTTAAGTCAGTAAAGTAAACTAATACAACGAGAGAGGATTAGGTGATTTCGATTTTCTAGTAACCAATAAAAGAATCCAGATCACGTTAAACTGGTAGCAGCAAGACCAGCAAACTAAAGAAAGTGGAATAAAAAGGAAATGCTTCTTGAAAACAACTAACCTGATGGTTTTTAATAACATAACCCAGATGAAATCTAAAATCGCCTAAAATTGGCTCGACTCAAACACTGCAAACGAAGTCTAGAGGATGACATAGAGACCGTAAGTCCCTTCGATGGCATCCCATAAAATTGAAATGCTGATTTATGTACCATAGGCCACATTTATACAGGAAAAATCTAATATTGAAATTTTGAGTAAAGTTAGTGAAATGAGATATAACTTCAACAGCTGAGCAGCACATAACATATATGAAGACAAGAAACGTGGCTCAATGTTGTAAAGTCTGGAATATACAAGATTATTGCCGCATAGAGGACAACAAATTTGTTATTATGCTAGCTATCTAATTCTTTTGTTGTTTGTCCTCTTTTTTATTTTTATCTTAATATTTATTTTAGGCTAAATTAATTGAAAAATACTCCTAAACCTTGCACTTTGTCTCAAAAAATGCCCCTAAACTTTCAAAAGTTTTAATAATACCACTTTCAAAAAAATCTAAAAGATACTCTTGCCGTTAATTTTGGATAGAAATCGTTAGTACTTTATTTCAAAAATACCCCTGAACTTTAGAACGTTTCCTTCGACTTTTAAAAAAAGTTAAAAAAATACTCTTGTCGTTAGTACTTTGTTTAAAAAACACCCATAAAATTTTAAAAATAACATTAACACCACCTTTATATAAAAAAAAACAGAAAAAGTTCTTCCCGTCAATATATGGATGGAAACCGTTCATCAACACCTCATAAATTGTCTCCAAACTTTTAATGTTACTTTTGAAAGCTTAGGAGTATTTTGAAGCATGGTATTTATGATGAGTATTTTTGAACTTTTAAAAAAAGTTTAAAGGTATTTTTAAAGTTTTTAAAAAGGTTTAAGGGTATTAATGAAACTTTTGAAAACTAAACGACACTTTTTGAACACTTTTTAAAGTTAAAAGGTATTTTTGAAACACTTTTAAAAGTTCAAGAGTATTTTTGAAACAAAGTATTAACGGTTTTCATCCAAAACCAACTGTAAGGGTATTTTTTAACTTTGTTTTAAAGTTTAAGGTTATTTTTTAGACTTTTTGAAAGTTTAAAGGTATTATTAAAACTTTAAACTTTTGAAAGTTCAAGACAAAGTGCAACGTTAAGAGGTATTTTTATTAATTTAGCCTTTCCTTTAACAAGAACATGATTCATGAAATGGATTGGTTGAAAGGCACACCTGCAAACACAATGTGTCGCAAACAGCACTTGATCCACAATTCCCATCATCTCCTTCCTTCACTAATCTAGGAATGAGATCCCTAAAGTACATGTCCCATACTTTTGGATTGATGTTAATCGAATCTGCAACTGGATGTAGTACCTGTTCGCCACATAAGTAGTTGACATATAAGAAAACAGAGCAACAGAACCATTTACAATATCGAGCCCGATTTCAAGAGCATTGCTCAGATGTTATGTTATCAGTTACATACTAAGATTTCTTTTTTATTTTTAAGCTCAATCATAGTGAAATATACTGTAGAACGTATTATGGAGACCAACTCAAGATGAGCATAACTCCAAGCATCCTTAAAAGATATTTACCAGAGAGGATTCCAGGCTTTGATTGATCAAAAGAAGGAAAAAAGAAAATCCACCTCGATCAATATGCCCTGAGGCATGGCCATATATAACATACATGGCTAGACAATTAGCCTGGTTTTGTGGGGAAATGGTTGCAGAAGAGTTCAAATATTTCAATTTGAGAAGTTAGAATTGTGGAAATAGGATGGACCAATGAAACTATTAACGAAACACAGCTATTTATCATAAGTAAGATTTTGTGACAACATAGCCAATGTGAGAATCATTAAACCAGCAATAGTATATGTTACCAATTTTCAAATTTCTCTTAAGGGTCTGGCTTGCCCTTCTCTGATTATTAAGGTTAGGGAGCTTTTCCTCTGAGATGTATTTAGAATCTTGAAATATATTATATCAAGTCAATAGAATGTTGCATTCTTTTGTTTCACAACTTTGAGTTCTAAATTTCCATAGGGGCAACCACATCATTTTGAAAGAAAAGGGTACCATGGAGGGAAGGTGTTCAAAATAGGAAAGAAGAATGAGATCATGATCGTAAGCGAATGTGGTCCCCACTTTTTGAATGGTGGCTGCTACTAAATTGAATAGACTAACGAAACATGTAGATTTGTTTGGAAATGTTTTAAGGACAAACAATTTTAATAGCAAATGCGAGTTTAAGTTTACCTGAGGATACTGCATCGGAGGCAATAGTGGTTCCGGCAAGTCATTTGGGAAAAAAGGATGTTCATCAGGGCTTTTGTATCTACCCACCTAGCATGAAACAGATTGTTGTTAAGCAGAAAATCCGATGAACATGAAACCTTCCTCTCATTATTTTACATCTTAACTTTTACTAAAGTTTCTGTCTTCTCGCATACCTGAGCATGAAGCTTTTCAGTTTCTTTGACCATATACTCTACCAAAGAACCATGAAACCCATCCATAACAAAAGCATCCCGGTCATAAGTATTGGCATTGTAACAATACTGTGCTCTCTCCATAAGATTGAATATTATGCTGTCCTCCTGAATGA